ATATATAATATATAATTTTTAAAATCATTTTAAAAACTTATATATATATAGTTTTTGAAAACATTTTTGAAAACATATATATTATAGTTTTTGAAAACATTTTTGAAAACATATATATTATAGTTTTGAAAACATTTTTTTGAAAACATATATTATATAGTTTTTGAAGATATTTTTGAAACCATATATATTATATAGTTTTTAAAACCATTTTGAAAACTTATATAATAAATAGTTTTAAAATCATTTTGAAATTTATATAATATATAGTTGAAAATTTTTTGAAACATATAATATAGTTTTAAAACGTTTTTGAAAACTGTAACATATAGTTTTAAAACATTTTTAAAATTATATAGTATATGGTTTTGAAAATATTTTTGAAATATATATAGTTTTAAAACATTTTTTTTTAAATATATAGTATTTTATTTTTTATTTATTTCTTGTTTATTATTATTTACTCGTTTATTTATTTTTTTATTTATTTTTTTAGGTCTATCATTAAGGTCCAATCAGTCCAGGATTAGGGCTTGAACCAACCCAGTAAAGGTTTAGGGTTATATCATTAAGTCCAGCGCCGCATGAATCATAACCATCAGATCGAGATGGGATCAATGGTCAGGATTGCAAAATAACAAGGGTTTGTCTAACCCTTAAATGCGCAGCCAGATCCAGACCGTTGGATCTGACCCAATCCAACGGTCGAGATCAAATCCGGGAAGGTACCAGAAGCCTCAACGCCACCACACACCGGTCACCGAGATTTTCGGCCGAGGATATCGGGACTGACCCATCCCGAAATCCCCGGCCAACCAACCACGATGAGCACCGTGACAATCGGAACCAACATGCCACCGGTGGGGTATAAAGACCCCCACCAAGCCACTGCCAAGGGGACGATGATCAGAGAACCCAGAACCGAGGGAGAACCCACGAGGCATCACAACCAAAAACTGAGAACACAGTGAAATAGACCACCACGGTCGAACAAACCGAGCCATCGCAAAGCCGTCAACAGAGAAAACAAATAGTAAGCCAAACACCACAAACAAGATAGCCAAACACACCAACAACCGAACAGAGAACCTAAAGAAAATCAATAAACAATAAATCATTGAACAACACAACAAGCCAAAACCAAAAGCAGAGCAAAAGAAAAAACATCGGAGCACGTATCAAAGAGGCCATCGGAAAAGCGAGACGTCGCCGGAAAGGTAAAACCCGAAAGGGTTTTCGTTAGATATACTCCAACAGGGGTTGCTTTTGGTGTTTTGGGACTTGGATTTTGGTGTACCGGGTTGATGGGAGTATTTTGCTAAGGGCTAGGTTTTATCGGCCGCCGCGAGCGGCGGCCGAGGCTGTGACTGACGAGGGATCTCCATCAGAGAGGATGGCCGGAGGGAGGAGCTTTGAGAGAGTTACCAGTTTTGAGAAATGGTGAGAATGAGGGAGGAAGAAAGGTTTTTGGGTATTTATATACCGAGGACCATAGTGAAATTACAGGATTTTTAAATCTTCTCCGCCATCCCTCGAACTTTGAATCGTTTTACAATCTGGTCACTGTATGCAATTTGGCCTCTGAATTTTCGATTTATTCAATTCAGTCCCTACTTTTAATTTACATTTTTTTTCATAATTTGGCCCCTAATTTTTTTTAATTTTGCAGTTCAATTTTAGTACCTGATTAATCCATCCATTTTAATTTGTTTTAATTCAGTCCTTTAATTTTTTTTTCTTTTTTTTCCTTTTAGCATTTTTTTAGTTATTCATTTTTACTTTAATTTTAATGTGTTGTAAATAATTTATTACTTTTAAAATCTAGCATTTGTATTATTATTATTTTTTCCTTCCTTTTATTTATTCAATATTTACTTTTTTTTTTATTTCCCCTAACAATTTTGACTTTGTAGAGAAATTCCAATTGATCAAAGGTGAGTAATTCGAATCGAGTAATTTAAATTTTAATTTAAATTTTAATTTTCTCAAATAAAGACAACCGATAAATTAATTGGTACCGAAAGGGCGGTTCAAGGGTGCTAATCCTTCATTGACCGTAACTGACTCCCGAACTCGATATATTTCTGGTACAACGCAGATCGGGTAAGATGGTGTCCGACCCACCTAAATGTTTTTTTTAATGGTCGGTGGCGACTCCAATCCATATTTTTTCAAGTCGAAGCCCAATTCCGGGGCCCACCGAAAGACGGTTCCGACAGTACCAATTCAATAACTAAACTTTTACAGGGTGTAATTTTAATGAAAAACAAGAGGCAATGGTAAGCAAATAATCTTTTACATGGCGAGGACGAAGAGAATCGGAACTGTATAGGGTGGTGGGGGGGGGGCAATGGTGGCAGAGACCCATACCTACTAATTTTTTTCCTTTGTCAGAAATTTGAAGATGGGATCTACGACTTTGTCGTCTCTTTCTCTGTCTCTGGTTCAACTGTACAAGTTTTTACAGATAAAAACACTAAATCACACGCAAACTGTTTATCTTTCAATCCCTTAAAAACACAGATCCCCAGAAGCATCTAAGCTTTTCTTTTTCTGCCCTAGATTTCCGTGCCCCCTTGTTGGGATCATGGGTTTCAAATCATTTAATCAACTTTGTCTGTTTCAGATACCCTCTTCTCCGGCTCCACCATTTGCTAAGCCCACCCCACTTCATGAACTGTTAAAATAAACTAGTAGAATATTTTGTTTTGAACCAATTTCTGGATATATCTTTTTGAGATATCGTGTTGTTTGTTCTTAGACAATTTATATAAATGATCTAATCTCTTAAACATGATCGGCAGAATATATGGCTAATCGACAACGTGTTGGTTCTTCAGCATGTCGATGCTGTAAGAAAAAGTGTAAACATGATTTATAATATCAGGATTCGAACTTCTAATTTTATTCGAAAGATTTAATATCCTGTTGATGTATCATAATGGTGAAAGCTCCCACACAAGATATAAGGAAAGAATGAGCTTGTGCGTATTTGGATTGCGTAGCTGATAGGACAAAGGAGCTACCGTATTTATGAGAATAGCTGAGGCAATACATATATACATATAGATAGGCAGGCTGAACCCTGATTGAAGGGACTTTGAATTTTTATTTTGGCCAGAAAAGGGTTTTACTTGACATGGCTTTTGGTAGTAGCAAAGTGTGTTGTCAAGATGGGCCATTGGGGAAGAATCTCGAGGGTAGCTATCGTTTTCGAGTGTATTAACTGTTGAAAGGGACGATTGGGTTGAACCTCTGTCTGCGCAATTGGATTTGCTAATGTCAAATACTTGAATGTTAAGTCAATTTTTGGTTACTCTTATCTGGACAAGAAATTTAGCGTGTGGTGTTGGAAAGCTTTCATGAAATCACCTCTAATTTCCACAACTACTTTACTGCTATTCATTTATAATCAATGATGCTGAAGTTGAGTCGTCCTGCCCTGGATACCAATAAAAAATTGGTCTAATCAGGCAAGCCTAAAACCCAGCCCAAGTTTAAAAGTAAGCCCAACCATATACTTTCAGCACATCAGATTACAAGTGTGTTATGCACAGGTTGCCAGTTTCAGGAAGAGTATTCAATAGTGTTAAGTAAAAAAGTTTTAAGTTACCGACGACCATTGGAATAGTGAGATATGATACTAGATTCTTTAAGAAATGTCATAAGTTCAAACTCTGACGTTTGTAAATGGGGTAAATTAGGTTGGGTGGGTCGTCCTTGCCTCTGCAGCACCCGATTTGGATTAGTCGGTCAATAAATCGGATATCAGTGATTAATTCAAAAAAATTAAGTTAATCAAGTTGATAAGTCTTATTTTATTAATTAAATTTTATTTAAAAGAATTTGAGTCGAGTTTATGAATTTCAAGTAGATTTGAGATGTTTAAGTTTTGTTTAAATTTAATCATAAATATTTACAATAATATTTGATTTAATTTATAGAGCTTTCTATAACCGCATATATATATATATATAGGGGTGTAACTAGAAATTTATTAACGCAGTGTTAAAATATTTTTTTTTGTAAATGAGAGAAATAATTACTGTACTATCCTAATATGCGTTTGTCGTATGAAGAAGATCCAAAACTTCAGCTGGGGGACTTTGCAGGCGGTGTATTTCCAGATTTGACGAAGTTGCAAGCTTTGCAAGACGGTCAGCTACACAGGTTCCCCATATTGTTTTTTCAATTGAGGGCCTGATAAATTATTCTTTATTTATTTTTAAAGATATATATTTTTTAATATTAATTAATACTTAAAAAATAATTAACGGGACCAAGACTTCCCTTGTTCCCATGATGTTCCGCCCATGTATGTATATATATATATATATATATATATATATATATATATATATATATATATGATATACATATATATAAAGTAGATAGATTCGACTTAAATTTAAAAATTAATATATTATTGATTAAAAATTTAAATTATTTGATTTATATTTTATAATTTAAATTTTACTTAATTTATATTGAGTTGAACTTGAATTTATAAAATTAAGATAAATCAAAATTTTAACATTAAATGTAATGGAAAATTTCATTTTTTTTTAAATCGAGTTTAATTTTATTCACTCATAATTAACTTTACACGTGTTGATATGGCATGTTATGACAGCTCTTTAGAAAATTCTCGATCTGAAATAAGTGTTTCCCAGTCTCACGTAATCAGCCGAGATAGATGGGTCCCCATTTTCAAACTTCAAAGTTTCAAAGCATTTTGGTCAGCATTACACGTGGGGAAAAAAAAACAAAGCTAAACTAACCGACTGTTCTCGACATTTTCTTCAGCCTCTACTATGATCCAACGGCGATGAGCTCGACATTGATACACGCTATCGCACTCACCAGTAACGTGGAAGTTGTTTGATGCGTACGAGGAACCTTCATTTAGAGTTTTGTTTTCTCCCAAGTTGTCTGGCTTATATATTATTACATAACAGAAATGAAGGCAAAAGCATGAAAGAAAAAGAACAATTGTGAGAATGGGGCTCTCAAAATCAGAATGCAAGATCCACCCATCTCAGCACCAAAATCAAGGGGTTTGCCCATCATGTCTAAGAGAAAGGTTATCTAGTCTTTGTTCCACTTCGCTCAACGAAGCTTCAAGACTCGCTCCTTATTATGCTTCCAACTCTGTATCACCAGCCCGACTTCGTATTTCGCATCGGAGGAACGGTTCTGAAGTGATGGGAGTCGCCAGATCGTCGTCTTTCATGGGGAAGGTTGGTGATAATTATGGCTTGAAGAAGAGTAGATCGACTGCTTTTGTTGCTAGAAAGGTCGATGATGAGGATGTTCAGAATTGGAAGAACAAGGAAAGGAAAGGGTTTTGGTCCAAGTTGCTTCGTTTGAAAGGGAAGAAGATGGATGTTGTGATGCAGTCGACCAGTATGAGAATATGATTGAAACAATATTAGTAAATTGTTCATGAGTTCGGTTTTTTTTCTTTGTTGATTATGTTGTAATGAACAGGGTTTGAATAATTTGTTTAATCAACAAAAATATGGGTTTGGATTCTTCACGACACACGATTAGTTTATAGTCGTTAAAATATTTTCCAGTAATTAAGAGCAAAGAAAAGAAGGCAATTAAAACTAATTTCTATTTTATTTATAATTGTGCACGCATGATGAAGACCGCCGTTTGTTCAATCGCCGACTACCTCGTCTTTGTATTTGTTTGAAATTTTCAACTGTTGAGTGTGCCGAGTCCAAAAATACAGCATAATCATCCTCCAAAAAGGAACGAAACAATTCAATGAGCTAATATAAATTTACTTGGTCTAACATATTATCAATAACATCCATCTATGTTTTCAAAGGATCACGCTTGGACATCTGATTGGGTGTTTCTTGGGCAACCTGATGAAGCAAATATCCAGTCAGACATCACGATTAACATAGGATAATCAAATAACATATAGCCTCTGAGAAAAAATCAGAGAAATTTGACCCAATAATAAGCGGATTGCTAACAGCATGGGTGTCGTAAGTGATTTTCGGTGAGAAGATCGATTTGACGTTTTTAGAAAATAAAAAGGATTTAATGAAAAGATGAAAGTCGCCAACAATAATTTTTAAAGTAAGATTGAAACGCTTAAAATTAGATAAATTTAATAAAACAATTTTGCTTTATAAAAAAAATACCATGTTTTGGCCTGTGAAATCAAAAACCCGGTTCGAGAGCCAATTACGCGTGGGTAAGAATTAGCACCCCACAACATCCAAAATTAATACTTGATCGATTACCCTATATTTTAAAGTTGGAAATTTTAAGTTATAATTTTTATTTAATTTAAAATCCACTATGTATGCATATTATAAGAAAAAGATGTCGATTTACCAAAACTAATAAATACCACCCCCAAGAAAAAGCGGAAGATTCGTTATCAATCATAATAAATGGACATTGACTTAATAATTTAGAAATCATGATGTGGAGTTATGAAAAGGATGTCAATTTATTTCAAGAATCAATAGCAATTATCCCGGGTAAAAGTGGGAGATACAATACTAATCCATAATAAATAAACATTGTCTTATTTAAAAATATATATATAATCAAACAATCGATTATGGAACCTAACTATATACTAAATGAATTAAGGCTTCCCTCTTAAGCAAATTATTTCTATACTCGACTTAAAACCGTTTAAAAATAAAGTTATCGTTATCATTGCTTCGATAGTTGACACCTAATTTTACCAGCGAGTAAAATATATTCTTCCTAAGCTTCCATAAGTAAAATAATTTAGTTAAAATAAAACATTTGAAGGTAATTTTGTGTATGTTAACTCGCCTAAATCTAATAATTAATATGAATGAATCATTGAATTATAAATTTCTTGATAATTTTATTATATAAATAAAAATTTAAAATTTGATTCACTTTAATAATCAATATGATCTTTGAGATTCGATCATAATGTTTGGATTGTGTCTAAAATGTTATACTATACGCACAGACCTAAATCCTTGCGAAGAATCAATATTGACAATCAACTATCATTAATAATAACAAACAAAATATTATGATGAATAATTTTTCAATTAAAGTAGCCTGCTTGAGATAAAATTAATTATCCTAACAAAATAACGAGTCATGTTATTAACATTTCACTAAAACCATAAAAAATACATGTGTTGGAAAAGAACTAAACATACATCTACCGTAAAATCAACGTTAGAAGAAAATAAACAAAAAATTTATAACGACAAGATCAAATTTATATGAGATAAAGATAAAAATATTTATAATTTTTATAAGAAAAAATAAAATATTTATTAAACAAAATAAGAGTAAATCATAGATCTATAAAATAAATATCTAAAATAGAGATTACTAAAAATCAAATTAGTGTAGATTAAATCAGCATGAATAATTGGTGAATTTATGTAAGGAAAGAAATGAACTAATGAATCGTCAAAAGAAAAATCATCGGTGACAATTTATTTAGAACTGTTGGATGAATGAAAATAGATTAATGAAATTAACTTGTTATTCTTTTTCATTCAATATCTTCTCATTTCATATTGTTAATTTCATTAATCTATTTTCACTCATCAAACGATCCTAAATTTATGTAAAACTTAAAAAGTTAACATAACATAATATGATCTTATCCCTAAACAATCACATGGATGATTATATTTAATATAAAGACACTTATCCTATACACGTATGTGGAATGAAAAACTATACCAACGGATTTAAAATGCATTCACGAGTCTTAAAAGCAATATATAATAATTATTATTTGATACATTGACAATATAATTTTTAGTAAGTACATAAATGATCATTAAATTATATTAAAATAATTGCTTTCGTTATTAAAATTTCAAAACTTATAATTTTATCATTACACGTTATAAAATAGTGATAAATTTTAATAAATTTATAGATCATTTTATCTTAGAATAATAAGTTTAATGTTCATTTTATAATAGTTTGATAAATTTTAGATCTTATTTTTTAGTTTTTAAATACTTTAATGATTATTTTGTAACTTTTAAGATTTAAGTGATAAAAATATTTTATTATAATTTAATGATTATTTATATATTTTACACTATTTTTTTCTCCACAAACTATCTTAATCATCTGTCAAATGTCCTAGATGCATTCGAAATTTATTTGTGAAAATTTGTCATTCTCTGTAATGCAAGGAATAAGTGTCTTTAATATAATAGTATATTAATTAATTTTAATAATATTCTGGAAAAATATATAAATATTATTGGTCTTCCAACATAAAGAAATCAACCAGATGTAGTTTTTGGCCAGAATCATACTCCTGCCTTTGCCCTCCACAATTTAAAATAATAAATAATAAACACTAGGGGAAAATGGACAAATTTATTACAACCCAGAAAGAAAAAAACTTCATAGTCAACAAGGAACCGCTTAGCTGTAGACTGGTATTATATATAAATACGAGAAATGGTTAAGGTTGTTCGAGATCAGTATTAAATTTTAATATTAATTAGATATTGTTAATATATTATAAAGTTAATTGATTGTGGTACTTAAGACAGTAATTTAAATGAAATTTGCAAAATAGAATATGGAACTTGTAGACACCCGTTTTTGTCTGGGTCTTTTATTTTATTTTATTTTGTTTTGTTTATTTTATATTTTATCCATTATATTTTATTTATTATTTTGTTACATATTTGTAGGCCTGCTGGAACCCTAAATTACAAACAATCAGGCCAATCCTCAAGCCCAACTACAACATTTTGCAGGCCAAGTGACAAGCCAACCCAACACAGATGCAAGACCCAACTGCTGACCCAAGAACCGACCCGACTGCATCAAGACCCGACCCGGTTCAAATTAGGGTTTCAAACCCTAATGTAATCGAGCTGCCACCGCCGCTGCTAGCACAAGCCGACGCTCGAGCCAGACTTCAACTCCTCAGCTTCCCAGCCGTGAGCCAATCACCGAGCCACCAAGCTGAGATATCCCGTCGCCGCCGACTGTTCTCCTGCATGAATAGTGACCGAACATCCATCTACAGTGACCGGTTTCCTATCACAAATCATTACATCAGTTGAGAAAATCAAAGAAACCCCATAAAAAAATCTTGCAAAATCAAACACTATCCCGAGGCAAGTGAAATATCATCAAAAGCTATCATCAACAGTCATCAATCATGCATCAAAATAAAAACAGAAGATAGAGGGAACAAGGAGGCCATTCGGAGATTTCCAGAAAAAGGGGGACATTCGGAGCTGGAAAAGAAAAAAGAAATAGAAAAGAGGGAGAGCCAAAACTTACCAAGAACGGGTCACTGTTGCTTCATCGGAGGAACTTGGCTCCGTCTTCGAAGGTAAATTCCCACCTTTGGGGGATTCGGGTTCAAGTTGGTTGTGGAAAGGGGAAGAGCTTTAGGTTTTCAAAAGAGAAAGAAGGAAGAGAGAAAATTGGGGTTTGTGGGTGTTTGTTTTAAGAGCCGACTGCCGCTGGAAACGCCGTGGAGCGGCGGCTGTTTGGTGGGTTCGGGGAGAGAGTTCAGAACTCTCTCCTTTCTTTTTTTTGGGGGCTCAGGAAACAAATGAGGGAATAGGGTTTCTCAACCCTTAAATGGGTATATAACCCACACGCCGAACGACGCCGTTTAGAGGGGTCAGGGCTTCCGTGTTTTCAGGTGTAAAGGGTAAATAGCACCTTAGGTCCCTCGCAGTTGTAATTTATTTATTTCAATCATATACTGAAAGTTTGCTTTGTTATATTTTGAGCACTTATGTTTCTGTATTTCTATTTTAGTCCTGTTACTATGTGTTATATTATAATTTGTTAATGTTTAACTCTGGCCACAATGTTTGTAATAGTTTCATTTTAGTCCTAATTTCTTGTGTTATGATATTTTGTGGGTGTTTGAATTTAGCCATCGTATTTGCAAATGTTCTATTTTGGTCACTGTCCGACATTTTGTTTAATTACTTTTTGATCCTCCGTATTTCTGTGAAATTGTTTTAGTCCTCATTTGCATGGTTTGTGTAATTATTTGATTTTACGCCTTAGAGTTTAGATTTGTTTCATTTCAGTCCATATTTGGTTATTTATTTCAATTTCATTAGTTTTAATTTAGGCTATGATATTTATAATAATTTTATTTTAGTCACTTATTACATGTGTTGTGTGATTTTGGCTGATGTTCGAATTTGGCCTTCAGATTGGTGCATCTTTTGTTTTAGTCACTGTTTTGGCATTTGGTTTAAATATTTTTGATCCTTCATGTTTCTGTGTAATTTCAGTTTGGTCCTTAACTTGTGTTTCTTCGACTTTAGCCCTTTAAAATTCATGTTTGTACTATTTTGGTTCTTTGAGTTTATGTGTTTGCTATTTTGGTCTTTGAAATTTCAAGTACTTTATTTTTGGTCATTATAGTTTGGTTTGTAATATTAATTTTCTTTTATTTTAATTCTTTATGTATGTACATGTTTTTATGTTATGTATTTGTATCATATATAAAAAA